GTCCACCCATACATCTTCTCAAGCTCTTGCAGGTATAACTGCAGCCTCGCCTCCCTGCCGTTCTGCACCAAGAGCAACCGCCGGATTGGCACACTGATATTGCACATCAGCTTTTTGAATTCTTCCAGATCAAGCATAAGCGGGACCACCATTAACGGGATAACATTGTCCCCACTAACGTCCCCCAGTTTCCCCGTCTTTGCGTCCACCAGAAGCCTTTCTCCAACACACATCATATATTTCGGTGTTCTCGGAGCAACACCGGATTTCCCTGCACTTTCGCCAGCACGCTTGGACTCTGCCCACCCAAAGTAAAGCAGCAATCCCATTACCAGCAAATTTAACAGCAGGAGGGCCGTAGTCCATGGCCTTCGCAAAAAATTTCATGGCTTCTGCTCAAAGTGGTATCTCTACCTAAGTGCGCGTTGCAGTGAGGGCAGGCCAACGGAAAGTCACGGGAGATTTATTTGGAATGGAGTGTGTAATTCGTTATAAGAAACCTTGTCTAATCAACTGGTTTTTGTTGTTCGTTGGATTCATAGCTCAGTGGTAGAGCGTTCGGCTGCAGTCCGAATGGTCCCCGGTTCAAACCCGGGTGGGTCCTCATTTTTTTATTTCTCCACGAAATATCCTATTAGTAGTTTTTTTTTGTTGTATCATTGTACTTTTTTTTATTTTTAGTTCTTGTTTTTTTTATTTTGTTGCGGTTAGGTTTGGGTACCAATCTGTATCGATAATGTCGTGTAGGAAGTGTGTTTTAGGACTTGTTGTTGTTTTTTATTTTGCCGTGTTCCTGCGAGGTGCCTCTGGAGGTTTTTTTTTGTGTTTTCTTTTTTTTGTTGCATTTGTAGATAGCAGGGGTTGGCGTTGATGGTCGGCGCGCCGCGTTTTTTTTTAGGGGGCATCTTCTTTTTTTGTTTGGCTGCTTTTGTGCTTCGCCCTGGATCGTCACGGCGTTTTGTAGTTTCTTCAGGTGTTGGCTGTACCGTGGGTTTTTTGCTGTCATCTCTGAATGGTTTGCAAAATCATTCATTTGCAGCTTTATATGAGCCAATCTTCTTACATGCACCCTATGCAGATTTCCGGAGGATGAATGAGCGAATTTTTGAGCATATTTCAGAGCGGTATGATGAACTTGGTCAGCTGGAGGTTGGGGAGGAGCATCTTACTGTTATGTCCAACGTTTTTGCTCAGATAGGAACTCTTGATGTTGATGGCATTAGAAAGTTGTGGACCTCGGTAGTTATTCCTCAACTACGTATCTCTATGAATGGTCAAACTCTTTCCAATTGTATTGAAAATTTAACGATGAAACTTGAAGAAAATACTGTTTTTTGTGATATAGGGAGTGGTATAGGAAATGTTTGTCTTCAAATTTTGGCCGAGACTCGTTGCAAAAAGGTGATGGGGGTTGAGATTATTCCTTCAAGATGTCGTAGTGCAGTAATTGCACTGGCAAATGCAAAGCGTTATTATCCTGAGTATTTTGCCGGCAAAAATGCTATTTTTCTTAACGATGACTTCGTGAACTGTGTCTCACGCTTAACGGAAGAACGTGTTAACGTGATATTTGTTCATTCATGGATGTTTGACGATGATTTAATGCTAAAGTTGACGGAAGTAGTCACCGCGGTGCCAACAGTGCTTTGTGTTGTGACATCACGTAAACTTGCTGATAGAGCTTTGCAGGGCAGTCTACTTAAGCTTGTTTCGCAAATTCATCTGACAGCTGATTGGAATGACCATGCCCCTTTTTACGTGTACACCAAAAGCTCGGCAGCATGATACGAATGTAAATAACGAATAAAATAAAAACGACAAAAGTGCAGAACATAGGTAAAAGAGGTGACCTAGAGTGCACAACAGAAAGGAATTAGTAAAGAAGTAAATAAAAGGATTTGTATTCAAGAAGTGGAAGATGCAGTTGCACTGGCGTTTTGATGTACGAGTTATAGAACTATGCTTGTTTTTTTTTTCATGACGCACTAGGCTTGAAGTGAATTGGGAGTTCTCCATTTATTGTACAAAAACAAACAAAAAAGCGAAATGAACATGTTACCAAAATGTTTTGTTTGTTGTTCAATTTAATTTTGGGTTTCTACCTTTCAAGTCTTGAAAAATGGTCTTTTGTATGGAATTTATACAAATATGAGGCATGATAACATGAAATGCAGGCCAGCTCTTTTTTTGTGAATTTCCAAGAGCATTGTAGGCTCAAAAAAAAAAAAAATGCGAGGCAAAAAGAAGCTAATTTAGACTTTTACGAGAAAATTGGCGCTGATGTAGTTAGAATTCCTGGTTTGAGATTTTACTACCAGATTAAGAACGGATGATTGTATTTCTTAGAATAATGTGCGTTAAATCCATGAGAGGAAAGGAATATTCTCAGAGACAATGTCTGACATGACACTGTTTTATGTTTATTATAACTATTTCCCACATTCTTTTTTATTATCTGTTTTTTTTTCTTATTTGTTTCATAGGATTGACTCTCTTTCGTTTGCTTTTACTGTTGCGAAACGTTATTTTTTGGTTCCACAGGTTTAATATAAATATGCGTCGAACTCGGTTGGAGATAAACGATGAGGATGTTGACCTATCACTGATAGATGCTAACAGCAACAATGGGGCCTCCGGTTCCTCGTATGACAGTGATCAGCATGATACGGAGGGTTTCTCATATGATGAGGAGGATATGATAATGGCAAGTCCATCTATTAATCTTGTCAAAGAGCTCATGAAACGCATGTTGAGGGTACAAAAACAAATGAAAGCGGTGACACAAAACATGCAGAGTTTTTTGAATGACAACACTTTAGACTTACCGTCATTAGGTTCAATTCATGAAAATAACATTGATGACTCAATTTCACTGCTTCGACAATATGACGAACTTCACCTTTTTCTCTGGGGGCGTATGGCCAAATTGCTTCATGACGAGCACCAGCATTGCGCTGATGTGTACACGGATACATTGAATTTGCATGATCGACTGCCATTTGAGTCTCTTACTCATACAATCCATCATAACACTGCTTTTTGTGATTATATGGGGGAGTTGATAAATACTAACATGGAACTTGCAGACGCCTTTCCGGATAGTGAAAACGAACTTCTGAGGCAGGTTATGACTCAGCACATGAAGACTCTGGAAAAGTCCCAGATTCTTGCCAATTATTCTGCTTTGTTGGTTGTGGAAGGTTCGCGTGAGAGTTTTTTGGACCCTTTGTCCATGTATGACCTTTGTAAGGTTATTGTTGAGGAGGAAAATAGGCGGAAACGTCTCCTAGCGCTATCATTATCGTTTAGCATGCTCGAACAAGATGACCAAGCCATAGTTGAAGCTCTTAGTCAGCAGCTGCCTCAGCTTTTGTTGCAACGGAGCAGGCATCTTGTTCATCGAATTTTTGGTCATCCCGAGAAACAAAACTTAATGACTCCTCGAGAGGGCAGGGGTTCACCATTTAGGTACTACTCAGCCGTAATCCACAGTAATCCTAGTTCACCTCTTAGCTCAAGAAGGGCGTCACCAGAGATTGTGGATAGGAATGCAAGTACTGCTACAGGAGTGAGACCATTTTCAAGTTCAGGATCAGGTCAAAATCGTAAAGATAGCCCACCTTTACACACACCAAATTTACAGGGGGACATTTCTTCCGAAGCACAAATAAGCGGATCGAAAATAAGTAATATGGGTGTAGAAAATCATTCATTTTCGAAAATAAAAAATAAGCTTGAGAATCATGAAAGTGAGTTGACAGAGGCTCCAGCAAAAAGGAGGAGATTAGAACGAATAAGTCGAGAGACAGACTACCAGGAAGAAATTGAAAATTGGCAACCTCAAAAAGGGGAGAAAGTGGGTCGAGGTCCCGCATGGGGTTTTGAAAATCAGGCTGAGGATTGTGATATTGGTGAAGTACTGGGCGTAACAACCACGGATGAAGTATTAGTAAAATGGCTAAGAAATGTGGATGCTGTCGCGGATAACGATGCTCAGCCTCGTGTTTTCCGTTACAGGTACAAAAAGCCTCATGAGGAAGTTGTTTTTTGGCAACGTTTTTTAAGTACTAAGACCATGGATGCAGAGAGTATTGATTTTAGGTTGGAAGAATTTATGTTAAATTGCGCCGTTATAGGAGCTATTTGTCATCAACGAGAGTCTATACTTCCAGCTCTTCAGTTTCAGGCGATTGAGTCCATGATTCATGTCTTGGATAGTGTTGATTTGGCGGGTGCTGCAACTAGGGCGATAACTGTGGAAAAAAATACAGAGGCCCGAGAAAGGGCCCTGTTGGGTTCGGAAGAAGAAGATGGAGCTGTAGATGAAGATGCATTGGAAATTCGTTTGAAATGGGATACAATACTTCATAAGACGAAGGAACATTATCGTCGGACGAGGGAAATTGTGGCAAGGGCAGGCTGGGTGTTGAATGCCCTGCTTTCCCATAGGAAATTGGCCTTAGTTTTTCTTGAATTGGGCGGATTGAAACGAATAATGACGTTGATTGATGCAAATTTAGAAGTTTCAACCACTTATGGATGTTGTATTGTGATGTCTCAACTTGCAAGAAGTTCCGTGTTTGAAAAACTTTTTCGAAACCATGGAGAATATTTTGAGCCAGTGATGAATTTTATTTTACATCATTGGAAAAATGCTTCTAGTCAAGATGTACAAAGTAGTGCTGGTGGCTTTCTCTTTCAGGCGCTTAGTTTTCCTTGTGTTATTTCATTTTTTGACGCCCATGGGGGTCCACAGTCAACTATGGGCACAATCGAACGACTGCTAAATAGTTCAGAGGAACAATTTGATGTTTTTTATCCAGGTTTGACTCTTGCAGCGCTAAAGTGTTTTTACGTCTATTTGGTCTCTCATTTGATGCTTTGCACAAGAGTTCTATTTCGAAAACATCAGTTCTTATCAGCTCTAGTAACGAATTCTTCTCAGGGGACTTCGTTACCTCGGGAACCAGCAATAGTTGAATGGATATTGAGTTTTCTTACTTTTACTTCCGCGTCTATCCCTGACGTATCGATGGAGACTGTTCATAGCCTATTGACTCGAGAGAGGCTGCTGGTTTTCCGATTTTTAATTGAAAACAATTTTCACCAACTTTTACTTCGATGCACCCAATTTTACTTTACTCAGGGTCGTTGGGAGTTGCTTGCAGCTTCCTTGAACGTTCTGTGTGTTTTGTCAGTGGTTCCTTTTGTTCGTCCCTTAATCGCGGATGCACGGTATCCGGACTCTGGAATTGTGCATTTGATTATGATTGTGAATGATTTAGCTGCGGCTTCTCGTAACGGGAATACGTCTCGTGAGTCACACTTAATTCCATGTGTGGCTACCGCGTTGCAGATCTTGTTGCATTTAACAGTGCCTCCCATTGATAAAAATGATGAGGCATCTGCAGCTGCATTTAATCAAGTTTGTAGCATAATCAGAGCTAATGATGGTGTTCGCACTTTGTTGGAAGTTTTGAAGATTAGAAAAGATGCAGCAATGTCAGCCAAGCTTCATATTTTTCCAGTAATCGCCCGGGCCCTCCAGCTGATGGTAACTCTTCGTCGTTATGCTGACACAGATCTTCTTTTTGATGCTCTAGGGGTGAGTTTGGTGGCTAGAGAATTGTTGAAACAATACGAGGATGTTCAAAAAGAATTTCTTTTTATGATGAAGTCGCGTCATATCAAAAGTGATGTGCATGCAACAGGTCGTTTTATGGAAAACGTTAAATGCTTTATTCTTGACAAAACAAATCAAGCAACCTTAACGGTTTCCGTCGATTCCCTGGAGTTGGAACGACGACAAGCCATTATTGCTCATTCTCACATCAGTTATTCACGGGAATCGTTATTGGAACTAATTTCCCGTTATTTAGAATCTGAGGGATTGCAAAATTCAGCTTCAGTTTTGCGTCGTGACGCTCATCTTTCCTTAGATGCTTCGCACCTGCAACAATCGTTGCACGCAATTACAGATATGACAGCGCTGTCGACAATTGGTGCACCCAGTCTGGACAGCATCATACGCTCGTATTTGAGACAGCAACATGAAAATTGTACTAACCCTATTTCTACCCTTCCTCAATTTGACTTGCGGAAAAATCATGTGTATTACCCGTTGGCTGCTGTTGACTACACACGAAATGCGTTTAACCGTGGGTTAGCTAAAAAAATGGGTAGTGACTTTTCCTTACGAATGAGAAATAATGAAAATCATTTTGTCTATCGGTACCCAGGACATTTGTTTGATATCTCGTGTAATGATGATGAAATGCAAGCAGAGTCGATCGCATTCTGTGATGACGGGGACACATTAATTGTGGGAACATCAGAAGGAGCTATAGCCCTTTTTGATACCTTTCCAGATGATTCTACTGGGGAAAAGCTACTAGAACAACATATTATCTTTGACAACGATAGTGTAAATGGCGTTTTTGTATCTGATAATGGGGAGATGCTTGCGGTATTGAGTAGCGGAGATAGAGTAGCTGTTATGAGGCGTGATGCACTTCCACTTGTCAAATACTCTGTGGAAGATAGCCGTGCTGCACGGTTTTCTAATTCCAATGCTCTTCTATTAACAACATGTCATGAACATCACACCTCCCGTCTTTATGATATCTCGGCTCAACAGGAGGTGCGCCATTTCAGTGACCCATCATGGGTTGGAGAAAACTGGGACAATGTGGCCACCTTTGATGCCTATTCACAGCTTATTCTTAGTGACGCCGTTCTGTGGGATATTCGTTGTGGTGATAAGCCTATCTACCGTTTTGACAGGTTTACGGAATCCTTTTGCAATGCCTTTCATCCTTCCAATCTGCTCGTACTTATTGATGAGAAAGTATGGGATTTACGGACGTTAACAATGCTACAAACGGTGTCTGACTTTAAAAAGACCAGCACTTTTCATATTAACCCATTTGGTGAGGTGATTTACAGTTTTCGCAGTGATTCACTTAATGAAAACCCTGACTGCCCAGTTCTCTCTGTTGTGGAAAGCCATACCCTTGAGACGATTTTTTCCACGGAGCTTCGTCCACCTTTCAGAGAGTTCACCATTGACCCTTCGGGTAGGTACTGCGCTGCCATTATTGCTCCAGAGGTGGAAGCCGTGGTGCGGGTGTTTTCAGCCTCGTCTGGGCCACTTCCTGGGCAACAGAGCTTTTCCTTCCCACGGGGTAGTGGTGCTAATGTGAGCGAGGAAGATATGGGGGAGGACGAGGACGTTGACCAAGACGAGTTGGATCAAGACAGTTTTTGGTCTTCCACTGACGGGGATGAAACAGACGAGGATAGTGATGAGGATAGCAGTAGCGTTGCGCTGGAGGGACAAAGAAGCGATTCAAACGACGTGAGGACAATGAGTGGTACAACTTCCGACGACACACGCGCTTATGTCGAGAATGGCACATCGCTGGCCACAGAGGATGACATGATTGATGGTGAAGAGTCCGAGGAGGCAACGGAAGGGACGGAGGAGAGTTTTGAAAGATCGATAAGTTCCACGTAAAACGGTATCATTTATAACAAACAAGAAAGAAGCAAATTTTCCCGTATCACAAGACATGCAATACATGCTTTATTTTTCCTTTTACCCCCACCTCATCCCAAACTGTTTTTGAAACTGTGTGTTCCCAACACAAGAAGAGGGTCGTGTGTGCGTGTCTGTGTGTTGTCCATTTTATAATTCTGGAGAATTGTGGTGCATGCGTGGAACATGTTACGCTGGCTCAGGTCTCAGCGGCGAACTTTGGCAATGTTGGAGAGTGACGAGACGTGTCACTGAAGTAAATGCTTTGACGCCCGTTTAAGGATATATATATATATACATATATATATTGAAACCTGTGTGTAGACTCTGCTGTTGTTTTAACTGATGTTTAAACGCTCGCTAGGATCTTTTTTTTTTTTTAAAGTGTCTTTTCTCTTGTGCAAAGCGACGGGTTGATACAGAGCAGAGGGTGAGTTATGCAGTGGCGACAATGCCTGAGTTCACCCGTGACGATGAGCATAGCTTAGATTTTTTGCGTACCAAAAAGGAGCTTGGGAAAATACATACTGAGGAAGTAAGGATACTGCAACAATTGGAGCAGAAGTACGATACATTTATTAACGAGGGCTTGGGAAAACTGTCAAGGATGGCTCCTCGGAGAACACCACGGCAGCTTCGACTGCGACACCTTCTGATCTCATGGCCAGTGCTTTTCTTGATGCTTTTCTGTTTTTTAACGGTACTTTATTTGCTGCAGTTTCGTGAGAATGGGCGAGAACGGCGCCTTTTTCTTATTCGCTGGCATCTTTACCTGATTGGTTTATTGCTCGCTTTGGTAACTTTGGTGGGCTTCACGCTTGTCCGTGAGCGCCTTATTCTCAAGAAAATCCTTCTGGGTAGTTGTGTGCTGATTCCAGTATTATTGGGGATGTTGACGCTTGTGACATTCTTCCGCAGCCGTGCCAATGAATTTGGCCGATGGGATGGGTGCCTGTTTTCATTCTGCTGGGTGGGAGATGGACTGATTGTTGGGGAGTTGGCAGCGCTTCTATTTCTTCATTGAAGCCGTGCATTCCACAATGACCGCTCTTTTTTTCTGCGTCCCTTCCCCTCCTCCTTACGCACACCTCGAAGTAAAGGCAATACACGGAAAATAGGTAAAAAAGAAGAAAAATGAAGTTGAGGAATATAACAAACACTGACAAAGGGATATCAAACGATGTGGACGATTGAATTATTTATCGCTGCGTGTTGACGCAACTCTTGGTCTTTCAGTGGCTGTTAAGTGTTGCCTTTGGTTCTTGTTTCTTTGGTTTCGTTTGCTTATTGCTGTTATTATTATTATTTCTTGATCATGGCTGCGTTTCCTTCACTTTGTTCCTTCTCTATATATTTTTTCTTTTTGTTTGTTTGTTTCCGCAGCCTTGCCGTGCACATCGAGGGTGCTGAAGGGAGCGCCCATAAACTATCGCATAGCGAGATATATATATATACGCATACACATCTGTATATAATATATAGGGAGGGAGGCGTGGGGGAGGGGAGGGGTAGTAAGGGGATAGAAGTGAGGGATACGTGTTGGAGCAAATAGAGCAGTGAGGTTTGCTGTACCGCCACGCAATTGACGCTGTTCGTTTTTTTTTCTCCCCCTTGCATTCACAATGGATTTTGACGTCCTCCACAGCATTCCCCTTGTGACGAGGTCGTTGTTGCTGCTGTCAATAGCCTCTGTGATGCTGGTGACTTTTGGTGTGATTCACCCGGTAGAAATCTTATTTAGCCCTTTGCTCGTGTTCCAGGAGAAACAGTACTGGCGACTGATTACCAACTTTTTCTACTTTGGTCAACTTGACCTGAGCAGCATTTTTGAACTTCACTGGCTATGCATAGTAAGTAGCAGCATCGAGGTGCAATACTTTCGGAGGAGGAAAATAGACTACTGCCTCACTCTTTTGCTGGCGATATTGTCTCTGCTGCTTTTTAGAATATTTCGCGTTGTGGACACTCCCTATTTAAGCTTTTCACTTTGCAACGCCTTAGCGTACCTTTTCGCTCGCCTGCTTCCGGATCTGGAAGTAGGCATTTTTTTCTTGATAACGATTCCAGTGCGACTTCTGCCGATTTTTTTTCTTGTTATGGCTCTTATCTTTGACAGGCATCGAGGCATTCGACTAATAATGGTGGAACACCTTGTTGGACACATTCTTTGGTACTTCCTTGAGATTTTTCCTCGTATTACAGGGTGGCATTTGTTGCGGTTGCAGGAGCACCTTATGCGGTAGAACTGGACAAGACAGAGGAAAAGAAATAACGAAGAAAAAAAAAAACAAACGGATAAAAAATATTCTGACGTGTGTGAGGTGATGCATGTGCGGCGCTGCGGTGCTTGTTTCCCTGGGCGCCCGCTTCATGGAAGCGGGCAGTGCTGTTTGCGGTGTATTGGTGCTCCACCCTCTGTGGCGTGCGCGTTTACGGCGTTTGCGATCTCAACATACTTTTCGGTTTGATTTTTGAGGTCATAAAGTAGTAGTGACGCCTTCGCCATCACCACCACTAAGACGCAAACAAAAATAAACAATTAGGAAGTAAACACACAAAGGATAGACTGAGCGAGCGTGCGTTTTACACGTCATGGATACGCTGGCGGTTTGGTGCGAGCGGCAGACCGCCTTCTTCACGAAGGCGTTTAAAAAGCGGTATGTTACGTTTAATCCGGAGTTTCGCAGGCTATTGTACGCGGAGGAGGAGTCTAAGCCCCCGAAGGGTGTCATTATCGTCACAAAGGTGGTGCGGTGCTGTCAGGTGATGGATGTGAAGGCATCTGATTTGTTTATGCTGATGGTTGACGGGAACCAGGAAAACGGCAAGGAAGATCAGTGGACTCTCCGCATGCCAACTCGTGACGTGTTTGACAAGTGGTACCAAGCCATCGCGAGCGTGTGCGCAGCTGCTGGACTAATGGAACCATTGAACTTCGGCCTTCCCTCTGTCGATCCACGGACAAACTTGCCTTTCGCACAGTTGCCGCTGGAGCACCTATTTAGGTTTGCGGTGCTGGAGAAGGCTGTTATCCACTTTTTTGCAACCGCCACACTCGTGACCTCCAATACCGGAAAGGGGAACCATCCAGTGCGACACCATTTTGTGGTGGGGGACAGGGCGATTTATATTTTTACTCATACTGCCACCATTTTGTATTGCAGTCTTATCAGTAATATTCGAAGGATATATCAGAGCCCTGAGGCGACATTTTTTGCAGTCCATGTAAAATTCCCAGAACCTGACATTGTGGTAAAGGATTTTTTGGAAGGCGCGCAAGCGGCCTTCGTCCTTACTAGGCTGTTTCAGGTGACAACTGGCAAAAGTCTCAGCGTCCTGCCCATCAACGTTCCCACAGCTGAAGTGCTTGTGGAGTCAGAGCAGCTGCGGCTGAGTGGAGGTGAGGGGTATGAGCTTCATGTTGTTTCACCAATCACAAAGACGCGTCTTCGTCAGATGATTGACGCTAATAAGGATGGAAAAGATGCCAGCGATAACAGTGGCCTGAACACAAATGGCAGGGGCCAAGCAAAGAAGCTTGACAAGGCTTTCGCCGTCGAAGACGCTGTCCCTGGCTCCACAGACTCTCTCACAGCACTGCTCCTGAAGATTGGACTATCAGAGTATGCTCCAAGACTGTTGAGTCGACACGTGGACTTGGATGTTTTACAGTGCATGGATGTGCCAGATTTAATGACCTTTGGGGTCTCGGATGCAGTTCACTGTCAAAGGATTCTTGATGCCGCTTCGCAGTTAGATGCGGCGGCTCCGGCAGTTGGGGGTAATGCTGCGTTAGACGTGTTTGTCCCGACGACTGCAAATCCCACTGGCAAAGCTGCAGGTGGTGTTATGCTCAGTGACGACGACGACGAAATTGATCTTTCCGTACCACCTCGCAAGGGCGTGACGCTGGACGATGATTCGGATGAAGAGCTTCTCCCCCCCGCATCTCCTGTTATAAACATGGCGAAGCCACCAGCTATCATTTTTGATGATGATGATCTTTAATATTGTTAGTGGAAGAGACATCTTCTTTGATATCGTTTTTCTTATATATATATTTGTTCTTGTTGTTTGCTGCATTTAGTTACACGCACGCAAACACACCCATCTTTTGCCTTTTTGGCCCCACCCTCTCTCATACTTTCATGCCCTCTCGGTATGTGCGTGTTATGGATGTGCATAGCAGAGTCCTTTTTCCAAGATTATTATTATTTGCAGTTTGTTCAGCATGATAGGTTACCAGTATTATTATTTTTTAAGTGCTTATTTTTTGTTCCTGTTTTTTTTTTGTGTGTGTGTGTATGCGTGTGAAGGGCGAGGCTGCGGTGACAGACGCTCATTTGTTAGTTGGAAGACTTGTTTATATCTGTGTGTGGCTGCACTATTTTTATTTTTCACTTTTTGCTTTTTTTTTGGATTATTGCTCCAGTTTCACTTTACTTTGCAGGACGGATGTCACGCGCGTTTCTGGAGCGATGCCCGCGAAGGCCCTTGGTGATACACATGGATCTTAACAGGACGATTATTCAGTTTGATTCTGCCGGCGGCCGAACAATGGAGGATGCGCTTAACAGCAATGTTGCAGCGAGTGTGATGGGGCGCTGTGATGGTGACAAGTGGGTGGCTGTTTTTGGACCTCAGGAGGAGGGGGATCGCTCTGGCTTAATGACGTACGATAATTACGTCGATAATTTACATACCGAGCCTCCGGGTATGCACGAGCGTCCACAGGCGGAGCGCGACCGCATCTGGCGCGACATCGCCGCGAATCGGAGGTTGATGGTCCGGTCTTTCACGCACACTGGTCAACCGGGAGAAAAGTACATGCATCATGTTGAAGAACAAAGGAGGGTGTTGGCCGCCGCACCCAATTATTCCATGATTCCAGCCTTTTTTCAACTTGTCAACACCCTCTCCGAGTTAGATTGGCCATTCACTCTGATATTTCGGACATTCGGCAACGACTTGGCCAATGTGCTGCAAGAGTGGCGACACTTTGTTTTTGGCGAACATGTTTACAAACCACGGGGGGCCGTGCTTAAGCACATGAAGGAGAAATACATTCCTGAGGCAACGGGCTGTATTTTTCGAGCGGAGGATCAGCTCTTTTTGTGTCTTGGGCCAGACAAGCCTTCTGTGGTAGTGTGCCCGGAGGGGACAGAAACACTACCTCCGTCCGAAGCCCTAGCACAGCTGTTAGCCATGCCTTTCTGTAAAGAGGTTTACCAAACAGATTTTATGCTGCTGCATGACAAACTTCTAGAGTACACTTCTGCATCGAACAACGTCGGTGGAATTGTAGACTACTATCCATTTTGGGCCAGTGGTGCCGAACGACGTTCTGGAGGAAAGGTCTTTCCTGTGGCCATTACGGCTTCCTCTTATGGGCTGACCTCCGTTACACCGCGGTTCTACGTGTTCTTTGATGACAATATCTTTATTGGGGAGGAAAAGTCGATTGTGGACCTGCGCGATATAACGACGGGGAAAAGCATCACGGATGCTGCAACTGAGCGCAAATATTGTGTTGCGGTGAATCCATACATGGCTATTGTTAACAATGATTACTTTGTAGACTCTCTAGCGCAGAGCATTCGATTACAGCTAGAGGAGGACAATGGAAGCATTGATCAATCTGTTTCTGGAGGCAGTTAGGGGTTAATGGAGGCTTAGTGGGATGAATTGTGTACCTCCGTCCTTGGCGCACCCACTTCCATTCTTTTCTTTACCTTCTGGTTCTTCTGCCGTTGCATTCAGTAGGAGGAGGAGGAGGGGAAGAAGAAGCTGATAGGGTTGGTGGCGCTGTGGGGAATCTGTCACCGCCACCGGCATTCTTCTCAGCCATGACAGAGTATAAAAAGCTGTGCGCTCTGGTGGCTCAGCTTCGGGAGGACGTCACGTTACTGACCTGTAACTTTGCGGGTGGTGATGAACGGGACATCGATGCGTTGCATTCCCTGTCAATGTCAATTCAAACTCTAGTTGCGAACGCTCAGCCTCGTATGCTTAAAATACTTTGCAAGGCCATTGAGACGGACCCTAATCGCCAAATATACAATGAGGCGATGTGCACGGCGATAAAGCAGCTCTTTGAGGACTTTTGCGAGGTGGTTGGTTGCCTTTTCGAAGGACCGATGAAGGAGATGCTTCTGTCGGAGAATAAACTAGACTTTGAGGAGTGCCCTTCCATATCATGGGTGGAAAATGTGTATAGCCATCATTTGCTGCGCCGTGCACAAACAGAGTCCTGGCAAAAACGTTTTGTGACGAATATTGCGGATCTGGTTTTGTGTGAATCGGAAACGCGTGCTGTGTATGGTGCGGAGCAGAAGCAGGCACGTGAAACACTTCTGCAAGCCAAAAGAATAGATAAGGCGAGTGTTCAGCAGATTTTGAAAGATAAAGAGGCAGCGAAATGGGAGGCAGAGGTGCGGCGTCGCAACGATGAACATAAGAGGTTAATGGAAGCCTCTAAATTTTGTGGGGCTGAAGGCATTGAGGCGATGCTGCTGCGTATTCCAGAGCCGTTTCGAAAAGTTCTGGCAAGAAACATGCTTCAGCTTGCACAGGCTCTCCGCACAACACCAGAGGACCCTAACATTCGAAGAATTCGGTGTAACAATATGAGGGTAATGATGGAGTACAGTCATGCTGCTTTCTGTAGTGGGTGCCAAACATGTCAGAAATTCGTTGCTTCGGCTGAGGTTTTGTGGTATGTGATGGGTTATCAAGTGGACTACTCGACTGCGCCCACTTCTTCGCTTTGCGCCATAATTAACAGCAACTCGCCGATTCTGTTGCCCTGTGGCTCCTACGCGTCCGAACATGCCATCGCAGCGATTGGATTTGAAGATTATTCTGAGCGCTTTTTCACTCTTTGTGAGCCCGACCCCATGCAGCAGTCGAGTGAGTGGATGGCTTGGTATGCCACGCTGGAGGCGGTGTTGGGGCGTCTTGAAGTTTTTCTGGTGTAACCTACGCGGTAAGAGGTGGCTCGAGAGGAGGGGGACGAGATCTCTCTGAGGAGGAGGGTGTTGTCTGGGGGCGGACCGCCATGGCACACGTAGGGATTGCAGAGATTGCCTGCTGTTTTTTTTTTTTTGCTTTACATGAAAGGTTTCTATTTTTTTCTCCTAAGGTAGGCCCAGGTTATTCTTTTCCTATCTAATACAGGTACATAGAAGGCAAGAATAGCCAGTGGTATCAAAAACACATCCATTGGCCTCTGAAGAGGAACAAAAATAAAATAAAATAGAAACAAGGGGAAATTTGGAAGCTGACAATGTACGGCACGCACAAAATGCAAGGGGATAGATTGCAGGGCACTTTACGCTACTATAATCAGCCGCGTGTTCGTCTGCCGCTGACCAGAAATCTGGGCTTTGGAGGTGTGCGAGTAAAGTCCACTATTAACAAGGCGGCCTCTCCCTCTGACTTTCATGCTGTCCACTTGACGGAATACGAAAAACACGAAATTCAGGGATACGCAGATGTCTACTACGCTGGACAGAACTGCGAGCGTAAAATTCAGGCCCCAGTAGATGGTGGGTACAATAGCGGTTACGATGACGAACGCGGGGACTATACAATCAAGCTCTATGATCACATAGCTTACCGCTATGAGGTCCTAAGTACTCTGGGGAGTGGATCCTTTGGCCAGGTTGTCAAGGTTGCAGACCACTATAAGGGCACTACGGTTGCACTGAAGATTATACGAAACAAGAGGCGGTTTCAGTCACAGGCAAAAATTGAAGTGCAAATTCTTTTGCATCTTCGACGGAATGATCCTAATGGAATTTACGGCATAGTTCAAATGCTCGATAGTTTTACATTTCGTTCACATGTATGTATTACCTACGAGCTGTTGTCGGTGAACCTCTACGAGCACCTAAAACAGCGTAATTTTCGTCCGATATCATTAAATGTCGTACGTAAGATTGCCGCAAGTTTGTTAGTCTCGCTTTCGTATATATGGCGTGAGAATATTATTCATTGTGATTTGAAGCCAGAAAACATACTCCTTAAATCATCTGATAGGGCGGCTGTAAAGGTGATTGACTTTGGATCTGCCTGCTTTGAAAACTCTTGTATCTACACATACATTCAGTCCCGGTTTTACCGTGCCCCTGAGGTGATTCTGGGCCGCACCTATACCAAACATATAGACCTCTGGAGTTACGGTTGTGTTATATGCGAACTTGCCACGGGAGTTCCCATTTTCCCGGGAGAAAGTGAACAGGACCAACTAGCCTGCATCATGGAGTACCTTGGCATCCCTCCACATGACTTGATACTTCAATCCCCGCGCAAACACGAACTCTTTGATGCCAATGCGGACCATGCCCCAAAGTTGTTTCTCAACAGCAAGAGGAAGATACGATTCCCAGGGACAAAGTCTCTGTCAGCGTTTCTTGGACTTCCTGAAGATGATGGCTTTGTTAGCTTTGTTAGGCAGTTTCTCTGCTGGATCCCCGAAGACCGGGTTCCCCCGCGCAAGGCGATGCGGCATCCCTGGATTGCCGACGCGTTTGAGGGGGCATCCGCACCACCGCTGTTGCAGATGAACCAGGCGCAAACAAAAATGGCGGTGCGTGCGGCCATTTCGAATGCTCACGGCGTCACAGTGTCATTGTGGAGGGCGTTACATCTTCCAAAGATTGTTGAACAATAAGGTGAGAATGATTGTATTTATTAGAGTTTTTGTTTTTGTTTGGCACTTATTTTTCGGGGATTTGGGTCTTTCATTCTGACCTTCGCTTGGGGTTCTTGTTATTATTCCTTTTCCTTAGTCTGAACCCCTCGAATGTTTCATCAAAATACAATTTGTAATAACCTTTTTATTTGATCCCATGAGCGCTTGGTTCACCTGAGGCGGTTGCACTCGCGACAGAGTGTTTGACAAGACGAAAACACTTCAAAAAACAACAACAACACAAAAGAAAGAAAAGAGTTAGTACAGAACGGAAGTTATTTGTTTAATCATTGCTTTTGTTTCTGTCATTATTCTATGTGCACGTTTTGTTTCTTTCTCTTTGTGTGTGTGTGTCTATATGTATGATGTATGTGTGTTTTGTCCTTTTTTGGTTGCTTGTGGAACTGCCTCCAAGCTTCAATACAGTTCTGGGCCTCATGTGGAATGATGTGAAAAAGCGAGGTGTCTCTGGCGCGAAAGCATCACTCTTGCTCTTTTCTTCTTCTGTGTGCTTTTTTTTTTGTCTGTTGGTTCCATTTCACAATCTCTTTCTTTCTCTCTGCACTGCCTGTAGTCTTGTTGGTAACAGCGTTTCTCTCTTTCACTCCACACCACCTGCACGAGCGCAGCACATTGAGGGAGGATCGAGGGAACTCGAATAACGTGTACTGCCGTGGCTGTCCATTTTTATCATAATGCTTGTGGCACAGCTCCTCACGAAAATTGAGGCGTCACCAACAGGACTCTCTCGCGCACTGCTGCTGTCTCTGGCCGCTCTGCTGCTTCACAGCATCTATCAGAGAGTAAAGTTGCGCCACGCCCCTAGCCACCCGCGGAGGCCCCTTCGAAGAATCAAGGAGCCTCATAGACGACCCATCGTTCAGCTTGACAAAACACTTCTTCGTCGTATTAGGGAACTTCTATGCATCTGTTTTCCCCACGTCTTCTCTTTGGAGTCCGGCTTGATGCTAGTACTGACGTCGCTTATTGTGCTCCGTACCACGCTAACACTCACGTTTTCCCGCATATCTGCAAACAATACCAGAGCACTTGTTCAGAAAAACTTTAGTCACTTTATTTTTGGGTTGTTTGATCTTGCTTTGTACGCCATCCCCGCAACAATCACTAGCGTTGGTGTTACCTACACCACCGCCACCTTGGAACAACGGTTTCGTGAACGGTTGCAAAATGCGCTTCACCAGGAGTACTTTGAAAAGCACAAGTTGCACGATTTGGTAACGAAAAGCCTCGTGGACAATCCGGCTCATCGCGTGACAAATGATGTGCAGCGGTTCTGCAGCGACTTATCGGGTCTGCTTCCTGCCGTATTAAAGCCGATTGTGGATATTACCATTCTTTCTAAGGTGCTGGCTGGGTTTGGTGGCTATGGTGTACCGCTGGTGCTGATGTTGTACTACGCCTTTGTTGCTGCGGTGTTCCGTATGCTGTTGCCAAACTTTGCGGATTGGGTCACAAAGAGTCGAGAAAAGGAGGCTAATTTGCGTTTGCTGCACGCACAGTTAGTTCAACATGCGGAGGAGGTGGCATTCTACCGTGGTGCGGAGATGGAGGGGGCAAACGCTGAACGACTCTTGAATTTATTTGTTCGGTTGGAATGGCGATTGAAGCGGGCAAAGTGGTGGAGCACGTTTATAAATGACATAATGGTTAAATATGCTGCGACTGGCCTTGGCCATGCTGTTTGCGCTGTTGTGGTTTCCAGGGAGAAGGCCCACTTAGGCGCGGCGGCATTGACGGAACTCTTTGTCCGTTGCACACAGCTCTACATTCCGTTGTCCTTGGCGCTGGGTAAATTGTTGTCCCTCCACTTGAAGGTTGGTGCACTGTGCGGCAGTGCTCACCGTGTGGGGGAGTTGCGGGATGTGCTTGCTGCCCTGCAGCCAGCTGACCAGGATGCTCATTCGCACGTGGTAGAGGTACCAAACAGCGATCAAATTGTATTTAAAGATGTGACTGTTATTTCCCCCACTGGTCAAGGTGTGCTGCTCAATTTTACAGCAAATTTGAGGGCAGGACGCCACGTGCTGATCATGGGATGCAACGGTGCTGGGAAGACGGCTCTCCTGCGGACGCTTTGGGGGTTGTGGCCGCTGCAGAGTGGCATGGTGGAGCGCCCCACCATGTTGGAGCTCATGCTATTGACGCAACGGACCTACCTTCCACCGGGCACACTCCGTACACAGCTGGTCTATCCTGCAATAGAGGGGGAGGGGCAGGCCCACGGAATAAAAGACGAGATACTCCTGCATCTGGCTGCAGAACTAGGCCTGAGTGGTGTAGTGGAGCGGGAGGGGGGATTAGATGCTGAGAAGGAGTGGGGTGAGGTTCTTTCTGGTGGTGAACAACAACGCATTGCCCTTGTTCGTGTCGTGGTTCATTGCCCCAAATTTGTGTTCCTTGACGAATGTACCAGTGCCATCTCGCAGGATGTAGAACCACTGCTGTATGGGATGCTGCAGCGTCGGGGTGTAACGTTGATTACTGTGTCTCATCGTGAGACCCTAAAAACTCTCCACCATGAGATAGTAAGGATGGATGGGATGGGTGGTTATGACATCTCTGTGATAGGAGATTTTCAATAGGCGCCCTTTGTTGAAAGTTCCCTATATACAGACATAGGTGAATACCTTCATTGGTAACGGGTGTGCAGTGACGCGGATGCAGCTGACAAGCTGCGATAAAATAAAAAAAAGGGGGGGAGTGCGTGGGGTGGACACCCATTGAACCTCATGTCTCCACCTCTCTTGATTCTGTTTGCGGCGGGGCGTTTGATACAGCGGAAACTTTTCTTCCCTCCCCCCCCCCCCCCCGGTCGGCTGCGTGATGAGCCACATTGTCGTGGTGGAGATATCGGAGGTGGAGCCGTTGTGCCGAACAGCGACGGAAGGAGAAAGACACCTGCACAAAAAGGGAGTGGAGTGTGGCGCATGACAGGCTTTGTGGGGGTCTGCCGTGATATCGCGTGGTGTCAGTCCAGTGCACCACCAAGCCAAAACTGATCGCCGGGGAGTTGGGAGTTGTGCGGGCTGGATGGAGGATCCCAGCCGTCCACGTCCCGCTGTGTGAGATGCTCCTTGTCAGCTGTCCAGCGTTTTTTTCTTTTTGTGTGTGTATT